AGTGTCGCTTTTTTCGGGGGTGGAAATAAATAGTGGAGCGGTTACGGTTTAGAGGATCGGAAGAACGTCGGTGGAAGAGGAAGTCGTGGCTGGTCGAAGGTGTTTCAACGGTGGAAGACTGGTGATCGTTGCTGGATAAGAGGACAGAGAGAAGAGCCAGAGACTGCAAGAGAGTAAGAGAGAGAGGAAAAGATAGAATTTTCGGGAAAAAAGGGGGGACAACCCCCCCCTCGAGCAGAGGGTTGTGATATCGGCAGTGCCGTGGGGTTACGGGACCGTAGAGAAACAGTTGGGAAACTGGAAGGGTATAGAGGAGAGATCGTTCGGTGGTTAGTGCGCGTCCAACGCGGGGAAGTGGACGAGGAAGAAGAGGAAGTCTCTAGCACGGAGGCTGGTAGGAGCCACGAGGCGTACGGAGTTGCAGCGCGGCGTGCGCCCCGTGGCAGCACGAAATTATGAAGCGCATAAAGTGTGCCCCTCTGGCCACCGTTTCTGATAGCCGCCGGTGAATGTGTGACCCGGGGGCAGCAGAGATCCGCCGTGATGACGACCGAAGAGACGACCGAGCAGCCCCCGGTAGACGACTGCCTGAAGGTTCGGAAATGGTGGTGCTTCCTTCTGTCGAGCATCTTCACCTTCCTCGCCGGGCTGCTGTTCGTACTCCTCTGGCGTGCGTTCGCCTTCCTCTGCTGTCGCAAGGAGCCCGAATTCGCCCCAAATGACCCGAAGCAGAAGGAGCAGAAAACGAGCCGCCAGGGCAAAGAGTTCGAGGGGACTTTTATGACCGAAGCCAAGGACTGGGCCGGTGAATTAATTTCCGGACAGACCACCACTGGACGTATCTTGGTAAGTCGGCTTTCGCCTTTTACTTCTACGCCCTTTCATCTGTTCTTTCTCTCGCGTGTGTCACTTTCGATTCAACGTTGGAGGTTGTAATCGCGCGGTCAATCTCAGATCGATCATTCGACGAATCAGATCACGCGAACTATCGTCGCTTCGATCGGTGCACTTTGGAGCTACCGGGGGGTTGCTGTTTTTTGGGGGTCAAAGCGGACAGTTTCTTGCGTTTCTGGGATTAAATTGGTCAATTTTGATTGGGATACGCGAAAATCGATGGGCAAACGTCGCGAGAACGGTGTTTCCGTAGAAAGTTTTGGAAACGTTCGGACCGATGGAAACCGAAGGTTGAGCACTCCTGCTTCAATATAGATTGTATATAGAAGGTACCCTTCGGAGCGAGACATGCTGACCTAGTAAACTGTTGACGGTTCGTGTCGTCGTTTTTTTTTCTTCCGATTTATTGTATTTGTTCTATTTTTTTCTTATCAAGTAACTGTTCGGTTTATACGCGTAGATTCGGAAATTACTTTTACTTTCGTGTTTCGGTCGTTTGAATGTAACGTCGAGTTTATGGGAATTTTCTGGACGGCTTGTTCGCAAAGATATCCGACTTTCGTCGGGTTCTTCTCATCTCCTCGGGTCGACTTTATCGACGCCTTTCGAATCGTTTACTCGTAAATTGGTTCATCTTTCTAGTTCGTTCAGAAACGTTTGAACGATATTTGAATTGATTATGCGAGTAGATCTAGGTTTTATATTTTCAAACGACCAGAAACGAACGAGAAAATTTAAATATCGTTGGAACAGGAACGCGTAGAATTAACTGAAACTTTTTTCATTGACGTGCTTGCCCGCTATAATGAAATATACATGTTCATTATGAACTTCAACTTCATTAAAAACTGCTAATGTAAAGGTCAGATATATTTCATTCTTCTTTTGTAATGTGATTACGAAATATTGATGTGTTCATTCAACAAAACTGTTACATTACGGATTGATATTCAAGTGAAAATACATTAAACTTAGTATTAGTGTTATTATTATTCAGTTCTAAATGAACGAGAACTTTGATTTTAAGAGCAATGAATTGTCGTGACTTAAATAGTTCCTTTTTTGAGTTATCGACGTATTACGCGAAAAGAGTAACAGAATTCTCAATTTAGGCAGCAGAAAAGTCGTCCTCAACACGTAAGACTTATTGATCCGTTTTAGGTTAAAAGGACTTGACTGACAGTATTTACGTTTTCTGTATGCTCTTCTTTTACGTGCTCCTTTCGTGTGCTAATATGTACCTACTTTACACAATATTTATTATAGACTACAGCACCTCAGTTCCATTCGGAAATTATTTTCAACCGTTACAGTTTACCGTGCTGTTTAATACTAGTATTATAATTATAATTACAGTTTAAAAATTGTATTCATTTTAGTTTCATTGGCGTCATTGCATTTCACTATTTTCCTATCCTCTGTATTATGCATCAGTTCACCTATTTCTGTTATTCGCGTTTCTACAGTTCTGCTACCCTCTTTTCTATCACGATCTTTCTCTCCAACGTTCTCTTCCTTGGCAACACGCTTATGAAATCGCACCGCACCAGCACCGCACCTATAAAACAGCAATATACTTATCATATTAGAGTGTCCAAGAATATAATGTGCAGTTTTAGTCACTTTATCTTCAGTTTGTCTTTTGTCACACCGTCAACGAGCTAAATTGTTTGCCGGGAGACAACGGGCAGATAAAAAATCATGGCGGAATGCGTCCTAACGACCGAAATTATTCCTTCTCGGTTACTTATAGCCCAATAAACTGATTGCCCCGTGAGGCCAAATATTTTCTGGGACATCCCGATGCTTATTTATTATTAGACCGCGAGTTTTATGCATTTATAGCATACTCGAACGCACGAGGCGCAATAAACTGGACACTTTAAACATATTTAATCGTCACTTTTACTTTTCAATCATATTGCTTCTATTATTACGACAGATTTATTATACCTTCCATCGAAATTACCAAACTCGTCAAGTTATTTCCATGAAAAATTATCGAATACATTCATCCGTTTTTACAAATATACAACAAAGCGACCGTGAAAAATTGAAATAATAAACCCTTTTACAATTAGAACTAGAAAATCGAATGTACGGATACGTTCGCTGTTATCAAAGATTATTCTTAGATTGCCTCCGGTTATCGAGAAGCTATTAATAACGGTATTAAATCACACGAAGTCTGTTTATTAACAATTCTTTGAAAGCACTCGTCGTTCCATTTGTCTCCGAAAACAAGTGATCCTCGAGAGACACAGCGTCGCGTCTGAAAGTTTGCATCGGCGAGTCTCTAATGTAGTTGCGACTCCGATCGAGTTGCGCGGGGCCTCGTGAGTACATTCTGGATGCGTGAAAAGGTGAAAATTATTAGAGGA